TCAGAGAAACAAGCTGAGCTAACGTTAGCAGCAGCTCGGCTCGCAGCCCCTCCGGGACGTCCTTTGTCTGTCCAACAGCGTGGGAGAAGCAGTGATTCTTATTTGATTTTAGTGTCTTATTGGTGTGAGAGCAGCACATCAGGGTACTTTGGCGTTGTGTCAAGCCCCAGTTTGACTGGCGGTATACGTCTTATTCTCTCTGCAGGCGGCCTAAAGCCACAGATCTTTCTTTTCCTTCCCTTCGCTCTTTGGGGAAGTAAAGAAAATCAGACACTGGGATGTTTTACAGCGTGTTTCACCCACAAGACGGCGTGGTCGTCCTCTCATGTACTGATTGGTTATTGTTGTCTCCCTCCAGGTGCAGCAGAAGCAGAGTAACGGTGGTGAAGAGGACGGGAGAGATGCGGAGACTCCGGTCCGTGAGACTGACAGTCAGTATGGGACCTGGGAGACGGGACTGCGCACTGACGACAGGTAGACACACGTTTACACCTTTATGATATTTTGAAGTTTTATTGCGTTTTCTAAGAACATCCTGTAACAAACGGGAACATAAAATAATTTAATTGGTCCAGAAGTGCCAGTACTCAGCACTGGTGACTGCAGGGTTCCCACACATCCTGGAAAACCTGGAAAGTTAGAGGCTAGTTTTCCAGTCATGGAAAATGACCAAATATCCTGGATGTGAAGCGGCAACTATCTTTTCCTGTCAGTGGAAATGCTGCTGACGGTTTTATCTCCATGCAGTCAGCCTATAAAGGATCAGATCTGTTGCTGTGGTTGATGAATACATGCACCGTGATGTTGACTGAACTTAAATAAAGTAAATTCTACTTGATTGGAATTAGAGGAAAACTGCAGCAAACTCCTGGAATCAGATTTCTTAAAAAGAGTGGGAGCTTTCTAACACAGTCCGTCACTGACCTCCTGTGGTCAGAAACTAATATCACAACATGAAGCTGGCGGAGGCCTCACACTCACACTGATTTAAACTGATTTAAACTCTTTAACCTGTTCCAGCCTCACTCCCGCCACTCCCAGCTCCGACAGCAATCTGAGCCCTTCACCACGGAAGCCCACGCCCCCTCACATGCCAGGCGATCACGCCTCGCAGTTCGATACCGACACCCTGGACGGCCTCCCGCCGTCGTCCGACAGCCAGCCGCTCTCCTTCCCCGATGTGAGTGAACGCAGCTCAATATGTCTGACTGTGTTCTGCTGTCTTTACCCTCTTACTGATGTTGTTCTCGTGTGTTTGCGTCCAGGCCCCCGCCGTCCTGTTGGACACCAGCGCTCTTCGCTCCAGAGCCCAGCTGGGGAAGAAGCGAGCCCCGCGGACACGGCCCTCCAGAGCGGCCCGCCAGAGCGCCGCGCTGGGAGAGGGAGAGGGAGGAACCAACGAGGACTGGCTTTACCGAGACTCCACAGGTGAGCACCGAAACGAGCTCCTCCTTCAGTAACGTTACGTTCCTCCTGCAGCTCTAACGCCGCTGTGTGCTTCTCCTGTGACAGACGCGAAGGTGGAGAGTAAAGACGATGAGTCCGACTCCGAGGAGCCGACCAGAGGAGCCGACGCCGGCCCCGCTGTCTCCTCTCAGCCGCAGAGGGTCGCCCTGTTCCCGGGGATGGACCCTTCGGCTTTAAAGGTGATTAAAGCCGCTCTGTGTGTCACTTACTGCTTGTTGTCGTTTATTGTAGAGTTTAAAGTCAGGGAGGGTAACGTCACAATAATTATAATAACTGTATTTATATAGCACCTTTCACAACAATGTTATTATTCTTAAAACCATGTAAGGCAGATACACTGAGAATAAAGACTGAGATATAAGAATTAGAAAAATGGAAGTAAAATAATCATAAATAAAATAAGATTTTGGAGCTTATCTTGAGTTGAAAGAAACATATTTAACAACATTTTTTGTTTAATATTATCTGTCAGACTGCAAAGATCAGCACCAGGAGAGCCCATGATAATGTTTTCTCTGCATTTCAACAAATATAACTAAAAATGCTTCTGAAATATTACCGACCCTAGCTTTAATGCATTATTATTATCTTTATTATTATTAACTGTATTATTCTTCTCATCCTAAATGTTGCAGCAACAACAATAAATAAGAAAAAAAAGAAGTTAAATAAAAATCAGTAAAAAGTACTAAAGAAGCTACATTACAGTAATAATAATAAATACTATAATATAAATAAAGCTGTGGTACGGCGGTCTGTGTTGAGGGTCTCTGATGATGGAGGGAAACGGTTCCTGTAGCAGGCGGTGGTTTTTATGTTCTGTGTGTTTATTCTGTCTCCTCGCTGTTGTCAGGCTCAGCTGAAGAAGAGGGCCGACTCTGACAATCAAGTGGACGGACCTGCTCCCTCTCCGTCGCAGCTCTCTCGCTCTCCCAAGTCCCCGTTCCTCCCCAGGGCAGCTCGCGTACTGCCCCCTCCTGGTGGGAAAGAGAACGGGTAAGAGAGGTTCACCGAGGGTCGGGGGAGTGCTCGGATGTACTGAACAATAAAAAAGTGTCTGTAGGTTGAAGAGAATCAGTGAAGAGTCTCAGTGACCGTGTGAATAAAGTTTGTACTGTGAAAGAATATGATCCTACCTTAAAACAGTTGTTCTTATAATGGAGTTTGGTTTGACAGCGTGTTCTCTCTTACACTAAAGGCAATAAAAGCCCAAAATAAATATTAAACACAAACAGAACAATGCTTGAAACATCCTCACATTACAAAGAGCAACCCTTGTGTGAACTCAGTCTGTCTGTTGCAGTGAGGAAGACTCCCCCCAGTGGCTGAAAGAGCTGAAGAACAAGAAGCGCTTGAGTCAGTATGAACAAGAGAGCTAAAGTAAATAATGAGGTGAGTTTGTTCTTCCATCTTGTCTCTGTGTGTCTCGTATTTATTCCGGTCTCTGACCCTGTCGTCCTCCCGCAGGTTGCCTTAACAGATGAGTCTCTATGAAACAGAAGCCTTAACGTTGACCCAGAGCGGAGGAGAGGAGGATCTACAGCTGCTGATGTTTTCTTTTCTATTCGTCTTTTTTTTTGTTCTCTTCCCATCTGGGTTGATAAATGTGCATGGTGCCTTTTTTTTACGGAGAGAGTCTCTATCTTAAAACAAGCGAGGAGGGGGAAAAAAAACCCATCCCATCAGGCCTTGCTCTGCTTTATTCATTTCACGCTGGAGGAAGCTCCTCTGGACTTTAACGGGGACCAGGAGAGGAAGCGGAGGAAAAGGGGGAATTACTTCCTGTCGGGCCGCATTCCAGGAAACTTGTGGGACCACTCTTCATCGCGGACGATCGACGGCGTGTTATCGACCAGCGGCGCGACGGCGTAGGACGACATTTCAGACACTAATGAACTCGAATGTAGAGAACAAATCACTGCTGACTCGATTGTCTGTGAGCCTGAATCATGTTTAGTAATCAGAAGTTATATTTGTATTGTCGTTGATTTAACAGAGAGCTAGTTTTTGAAAAGGTGCATCACTACAATAGAGCCTTTTCCTTTGATACACTCCGCCACCCTAACAGTGTCACAGTGTCTGCACACGAGGGCTGCACCCGACCCCATTGTGTCAGTCCAATCTGTCTTCAGTTGAGCGACACACTACAGTCCGATATCAGCGGTTCCTCTGGTGGAAACGCGGCTACATGAGTCTCATGTTTCAGCCTACACCACATTTTAAAGTAACTTAAACTACACAAAACCTTCCTGCACTGTCTTCCTGAGGCCCCTGTAAAGCGACAGTGAACATACTGGTATCATATGAGACTAGATGACCTCACGCATCCATTGCTACCAAACCTGTTATGCAAGCGTGTCGAGAAGAAGGCGAAATAACGCTCCAAAGTTTGACTGACTGCCATTTTCAAAGGAATCCATCTGACCTTTGACCTCAAGATATCTGAATGGGCTCTCCATGCACACAGGATCTGCGTATCCAGAAGTAAACAGTATAAAACAGGTCTGGAGGAGAGACAAAGGTTCCAACAACAGAATCTGCGATCCAGTATCTGATCGCACTGTAGTTGACAGTTTGATCTGAGTATTTGGGGTGCGTTTTGATGGCTGGACGGACTCCACTGAGAATGAGCTGTCTATCACAGGTAGCCCCACCCCTAAAGCCTTACCCTGCTTTATGGTCGTGTTTGACTCTTTAAATGGGACCCATCAGTTACTAAATTGAACATTCATGCTGTATGGAAGGAAGACTGAAACAGAGACTGAGACGAAAGCTCATCAGGAAACTGTTTGACTGGATGCTTATTTAATTCAAGTGAGAAGTCGACTCATTTCTCCATAAAACTGAATGGTATCTGTTTATATTGCACCCAGTGGCGCTGCCCCCTGCTGGCCTTTACATAGAAGTTAAAGACACTACTGTCAATGGATTCGACTGACAGAATTTGACTGGACTGATCGGCTCTTCGGGTTCAGCCCTTCTGCAGAACACTGTCTTGTCTTTTTTTTTGTCTAAATGTGTTTGTCTTTGCGGGAGAGGGACGGGGGACTTTACGGCCAAGTGACTTTTTGCATCTGTCAATCAAACTCCTTATCAGCACAAAAACTTTAAACACTAGTTACTGATGAACTGCTCCCTCCATTAACACACTCAATGATTGTAGCTGGAAGCATCCATTATAAGCCATACTCACACTCCTCCCAGCGAATGTGCAATTTCCCTCCATGTCTGTCCCCACCGATGTGCACAATCTCTGCCGCCGCCATCGCTCAGAGTGTCGGGAGGTTCGGGAGGTTCGTGAGGTTCGTGAGGTTCCTCCACCTTGCTGCTTCCCAACCGAGCTGTAATCCTCCTGCTGGTGTCTGCCATCCGCTGCGTTCACTCTGCGCTTATATAAAGCACTTTGATGCACTACAGCACTGACCTCCGCCCCCTCCTGTCGGCCTCCACCGCGGCGTCGGAGTGATCGTGCAATGGAAGTGAATGTTGGTCGGAGCGATTGTCCCTGGTTTCTGTGTGCGTGACGTTTGTCATGAAATTTGAGGGTTTATTTTTTATGTGCTTCTTTGTCCTTTTTTTTTTTTTATTTGAGAGTAAAGATGTATATTGCACTGTGTTGTACTGGCCAGTGTCCTAAAGTGAATACATTCTTAATAAAATCTACTTGACATGAGCTGCTTTATCCACCGTTTCTCTAAATTGTACATTAAAAAAACATATTTCTGTGGTCGATTAAAACTATTTGAATCAAAAATAAAATTATAGCTGAGTTTAATTAGATTGTGTGAGATGAAATCTGCTGCAGATGGAAACATTTGATCAGTTATCCATTTTTATCAGGACAATAACATTTAACTGTCAAGTTTAATATAATAAAACATTTGATCAGTTATCCATTTTTATCAGGACAATAACATTTAACTGTCAAGTTTAATATAATAAAACAAACCAAAAAAATACCTTTTATATATATATATATGTAATTTTTTTGTTTTTTATTTATAATATTGATAATATATTTAATTTATAATATAATAAAATAAAAAGGAAATTCAATAAAATGATGTATATAAAATGTATTATAATAATTTATTCTTTATATTTAGATAATATATATTTAATTTATAACATTTCTTATAATTACACATTAATGTATACATATAATGTGTTTATATAAAATGTATTTTATATAAGTAATATACAATATATAATAATTACTGTAATATAATAAAACAAAAACAAAACAACAGTTTTTCCATAAGGGAGAGTAAAAATAGTGCCTATATTTTATGAACATTTCATATTAAATTGATCAATAACATTAAAAGTACCCAAACAGTGAACTCAGTCACTGCAGGAAGTTCCAGAGATTCAGATTCGGGACAGGAATATGTGAACATAGAAGGAATCTGACTCCAGTTTTACGTTGTTCTCAATGTCCAAACTCAGACTGACAACATCAATAAACAGAACAAGTTCAACAAAATAGACAGACTAAAATATACAGTTATACACATATAAACAAACATTTATAGACAGTAAACATACATGCAGGTGTCTTTAAATACTATTTAGGTTTAACTGAATTCCAACAATAGATAAATAAATGTGAAATAGTCTCCAGGTTCAGTGGATGTTACAGTCCGAGGGTTATTGTGCAGGGCAGTTAACTGTTGTTCAGAGTGAAGGATTGTGGGTAGAAACTGTTCCTGTGCTCTGTGGCGCCAACCAGAGGGGAGGAGCTGGATCAGGTTGTGTTCAGGGTCAGATGGATCTGGACCAGTACAGGTCCTGAATGGAGGCCAGGTTGGCACCAATAATCCTCTCTTCTTGTCTTCAAAGTTTAGATCCTAAATAATAATCTCAACTTCAAAAAAAATATAATTTAATTTAGTTTCCTTCACAGAATAGAACCAAGCACAGAGATATGGGCTTACTGTGTACATTTTTATGTTACACCGTAAAATCAAGAAGGCCTCTTGACTCTCTGTGAAGCTTCGGTGACCCCTCATTGTGGCCCCGACCCCCAGCAGGTTGGGAACCGCTCTCTGTAACAATAAACTGAATCTATTTGGCTTGTGGACAAAATAAGTCATTTGAGGACGTCGGCTTTGGTTTCAGGAAACTCTTTTCACCATTTTCGGACATTTTCTGACATTTTCGGGAACAACTAATTGACTGAAAGCGGCCGTCAGCTGCAGCCCTGCTGTGATCTTGCTGAACCCAGATTCAGGAGGAAGGTGTGAGGAAGTTTGGTGAGACTGTGTTTGTGTGTTTGTGCTGAGCGAGGCTGTTTGCTGAATCCTCTTGGCTCCCTCTCCCTGTGCCCGCACACAGTGCTCGCTGGCAGCCGGGCGGACGGGCAGGGCAGTGTGTGCCAACACAGCTGCCTATTGAGAGGCAGCGTTACGAACACAATGTGAGCGACAGACTTGCTGTATCAACAGCTCCCCCCTTTTTCTGCTGTTGTGGCCAGAAATAAACCATAAATACCCCCCCTGTCCCTGCCCTCTAATGGCTCAACCCCACCGAACACCAAGTGGCACCAAGAGAGAGGGACACTACCACTTCCTAGCAGGCATACGCAGGTAAAACGCTCTCTCTGGACTCACAGGGATCAATATCTCTACGGAGTGAGGACCCAGGTTTGGAGGAGTTTGACCTCACGGATAAAGGATCTTCTGTATCATGTTTAGCTGATATAATAACAGAAATGAAAACCAAATCTTCTGTGACACTGAGTTTTTTCCCTCCTGTGTGTGTGAGCAGTGGATCAGGAGGATGTCGGAGCAGCAGAGCGCCCCAGAGCAGCTGGCTGCTGGGAAGAGCCAGGGTGGAGCTGGAGCCACATATAAGGTACTGGAACAAGCTTCACACACACCTGGAGTGGTCCAGTACAACCACAAAGCCCTGCTACTGGTCTGAAACCTGTAGAAAGTTTCTTTATTTGTGCATAAAGTGAAATAAAAACATTAGATAATGCACAGATGGGATGAAAACACCCCCTGAGGGTTTGTAAAAGTGCCTAACAAACATTGAAATTGAAGAAATATGCTTGCCACAAATTTACAGACAGATGTAAATACTTTTTAAAATATCAGAAACTACTAAAAACTATAAAAGGAAGAAGAAAAAGACATAAAAACAAGGATTACACTGCTTTCATACACTACATCGTACCTCATTTATACAGTAAATCACTGTAAAATCTCCTTTAACAAGGATATATTCAGTGCCAACCACTGTAAAGTCACTGTAAAATCAGTGTAAAGTCAGTGTAAAGTCAGAGTAAAGTCAGTGTAAAGTCAGTGTAAAGTCATTGTATTGCTGCCCTGTTTCCTGCGTCTGTTATCCAGGTGGTGCTGTTTGAGTTCGAGAACTTCCAGGGCTGCAAGGCAGATTTCTCTGGAGAGTGTAAAGATGTGACGGAGAAAGGACTGGAGAAGGTCGGATCACTGATAGTCGAGTCCGGACCGTAAGTTTCACTCTCTCAGAGGTTGTTTGATTGGATTTATGGATATATAGAAGACAAACAATAACTTTATTTCCAACACGATGTCAGACAATCAAACGTTACAGGTACAGAATCCCTAAAACAAATACATTTATATATATTTTAAATTTATTAATTGAACATATAATACTATAAAAATACATACGTTTCAATATCAGCCTGCTATGAAGTCACTTTCATTAACGTAGTACGCACATACATCCATGATTAGTTAGGAGCTAAAATGTGGTGGTTAGATACAGGGCGGAGGTCAGATGAATGGTTCATAATCACTGGGATTGTGGAAGAGAAGTGTGGACCAGGATGACCCCTTTTCCACCAGATTAGCTCTGGTTCTTGAACCGGTTCAACAGCAGTCATCAATAAATAAACCTGCCACAACTTTCTGTAGCTCGATCAGTCATAACGGTGGAGAAATAAAGCATAGAGCTCTCTCCATCCCCAAGAATAGGAGCGGCACCCAGACTTAAATGACCTAAATTATTCAGCTTTGACAGAGAGTTTATGTTTATTTCATCACTTTGCTCACTGAACAAGAAGAAGTGGGATAAAAGAGGTAAAGATGGAGTAAAGGAGACGTTAAAGCTTTTTCACAGCAGCTATTTTGGTATGAAAGAGTAGGGTAAACCCAGCTGTTACAATGATATTAGTTGGTCTGTTGCAAAGATGTGCTGAGATTGTTAATTATAGAATTGATTGAGACTGTTCAGACATTAAGCATTTTATTTAAAAATGAACATTTTGAAACAAACTAAATATTCTTAAATATAATTAAATCTGCCAGTTGGGTAAAACTATTTTACTTGGCTAGAATTCTCAAAAATATCATAAAAAATCAGCCACTGAAAGACTGTAATGGTAAAATAAGCAAGTTGTGCTTATTACAAGCAATGAAAACTCATTTATTTAAGATTCTTAAAATCAGTATTTTGGTCACTTTATTGAGCTGAATGTAAGTATTTGTCCCTTTAATCTAAAATGT